TACACAGATATATATATATATATAGATAAAGGAATAAGGAGAGCGTTCTGTGTCACAAAATAATATAGAGAGACAGACAGAAAGAGAGAAAGACAGAGATAGAGAAACATACACACATACAGCAAGAGCGTACGGTTATGTGGAGTATTGGGTTTGGGGCTTGGATTTATTTTTTTTATTTTTTGGGGCCTATTTAAGCTTTATGGCTTTTTTGGTATTTTTTGTTGGTATTTGCAAGTACAAAATTGATAAGTTTTTGGCATTTTTACTTACCTAAGATGGATAAAATGACAACTACTACATCAAATAAATTCCATGGCTCAATAAAATAGTGATATCGTAAAGCGAATATTTTTAATAGACATTCGGAACTGAAAATAACTACGAATATCGCATTCAGATAGTCAAGGACCGCGTTGTACGTGTCCGACGCATCGTAACGATCGAGTGTCATGGTGAACATGTTTAGACCAATGAATAACATAATGATTATATCGAATTTCTTATCGGTTACTATTTCAAAGACTATTGCTTGTGGACGCCACTGTAAATGAGAGAAAGAGAGAGAGAGAGAGGAATCGAAAATAAACAAAAATCAAAAATATCAAATAAAATTGTTTTGTTTTTTGGTTTTGTTGGTTTCGTTTTTTTTTTTTTTTGGGATGACGTCGTGGATACCCAAAGTAGAGAGAAGAGAGATAAGAAAAAAAGAAAATAGAAGAGTTTGGTATAAGTACTTGTTTGAGGTTAAGCACGATCGCAATTACTTATGTGTATGTATATGGTTATGTACATATACACTAACACATACATACGCATGTGCTTGTAGTTAGTTAACAATACCATGTATGTACATAGACATAGGCTGTACTTATGTAACTAGTTAATACGGAGAGTAGTCCAACTCCACACTTAGTTGGTATTTGATATAAGTATATTTGTTTTTTCTTTATATTTCATTTAGTATTTGTATTAGTTATATGTTATAGATTAGCTTTGATTTGATATAGTTTCATTTCGTTTCGTATATCGTTGCCTAAATGCTTTTTGCGTTGTAGATCTGTGCCAATAGCAATCTTTTTTCCATGATCAGCGCGCGCCCACCTGTATGTACAGTAGAGTATGCGTAAATTGGACAACATTTGAGTGTGTGAATAGATATTAATAGATAGAGCAAGAACAGTTTAGAGTTGATGGTGTAACAGTGAGTCGGTGCGCTTTGATTATCATTGAATAATTCTTACTTAATATGAGAGCAGACATTTTCATTCACACTACATCTTAAGGACAGACAGCATTCGCAATTGATTATTGATTATTTGAGTTGATTATTGATTAATTGGTTACTTGATTGATTGRTTATTTAAGTATGTTTTCTTTTTGGTGTTTCGAGTACAGTTAGGAGTATTTAGTATAAAACGTGCTGCTACAGTCGTGGTCTGATAGTTTGATTGTATGTTCGTTGGGCCGCAAGAGGAGGGGGATTTAGTTAAAGTCTTGAATTTTGGATCGTTTCATTGATCGGAACATGCCTCGTAGCTGTGTCTAACATAACTTGATTTGTGTCTTCTAACGCTACACAACATGCCCAAACATGATTCAGATTCACGTGCCATTTAATTGAAATTTAGTCAATAAAAAGAAATGAAGAAACATGCACTTAGATTGCCGGGAGAGAGAGAGAGAGAGTACAAGAGAGTGTATATTGAGAAATATATATATATA